AGAAACAACAACATACAGTTCCAGTCCAGAAGCCGTCAGACTCACAGCCTCGCACTATCATTTCTGCTGAGGCAGGGAAGGGGCCATTTTTCCAGTTCAAACTGCAAGCCTTTGTGTCCTACTCAAGCCTCCATTGGACTGGGCAAAGCTCACCAGTCAGGGGCCTCTGCTGATCTCAAGTTCTGGCAAGTATGTGAGAATGTCTAACTAAATGTATGGATACAGTGGCCTAGTCAAGTTGACAGACATATTAACCACCAGAGGATCCAGCCAGGTGGTTAGAAGCAAGCCTTCAACCCAGCATGAAAATCAGCCTGGCCATTCACTCTTGAAAGAGATTTCCACCTACTGCACTCATAGGACAAAGAAACGTATTTTCTAGAAGACCAGGGTTGAGGGAGCATCTCTAGTAAGTTCCTTTGGGAGTTCTCTACTAGGCTGTCACCTAGAGTTGAACTTTGGCTTTATCTCCTGTCCTCCAAGCCTTGAGCCACAAAATCTGAAGGTCAAGTTTGAGTAAGAAGTTTAATTATACTGACACGCCTCTAATCCCAGCACATATAAACTGAGGCAGGAGGATCACAAGTTGGAAGCTAAACTAGGCTACAAAACAAGTAGTGCTCAGTTAATTATCTGTCCTGCTTGAGTTTTTGTTCTTTAGGTATAATTCACTGTTCTAGTTCAAAGGAGCACTTTTAACAGTATTTTTCTCTCTCTCTCAGGCCTTGGTTCAATGTTCCCTCCTATTCCTGGCTCCCAACTCATGCACTGGAAGATGGACCACAAGGAGACCTGCAGAAGGTTCTCACATGAGATGATGGTGGCTCAGGAACTGGGAGGAAATGGTAGCTGCTACTCTAATCCCAGGTATGATTTGAAAGCACTGTCATCAGGACTCCAAGCAAAATAGATCTTGGTGTGACAGAGAAAAAGAAATCAAGAGTTGCTGGGAGGTTTTAAGCAGCCTGATAAGTTGGGAAGGGACGGTGCAATTCACTGAGACAGGGAAGACTGTGGGTAGGGCTGGTGTGGAAAAGACTTGTGGATTCATCAAACAGAGCTGGCTCTGAAACTGGAGCTCTGGAAGAAGGTCTGAGCTCAAGACACAGTCTGTAAAGCTTGTCGTGCTTCAGATAACTCAGGGAAGGAAGTAGGTGTGAGATGGAGTGTGAATGCCATGTGCCCAGCACTGTATCCTTGGGCGGGGAGGGAATCAGCATCACAGCTTCAAGTGGGATTCTAACACTAGTCTGCATTAGCAGTTACATAACATGTGGTCACCACCCAAATACACATTGTCCTCATCAGCTATTTGCTAGAGTTCTGTGCCAGTTCTGTGGCTTAAGAGGAATGTGAAGAATCTGGACCCAGCCTGGGAAAAAGGCAGCCACGTAGATGAACAAATGAAGGAAAATGAAATCCGGCAAAGGTTAGAGGGAGTGAGATGAGCTTCCCAGAGACAGAAGCACGGCAGCAACTGGCTCTGTCCTCTGAAGCAGAGGGTCTGAGAGCTCAGAAGTAACTTGCTTCAGGCAAGCAAAGCAAAGGGAAACAAGTGTCCACAGGATACTTAGATCAGGAATAAAAGAGAGAGCCAACACCTGCTGTATTGGGGTTAAGACCCTGAGGTGGACTCCCACTGTCCAGATCAGAGTAGTGAAGTTCTAACAGATTAGATCAGTTTACCAGGATGAAAGCTTCAATTCACATCTCTGTGTAGCCAATCTAAAGCTGTTCTCGTTAAACACATCAAGCTCCGTAATGGAATTGTATGATAACACAGAAACTGATTTCTGAGTGTTAGCAAGCCCTTTGCCTCAGAACTTTCAAAGTTGTTAGATTGTAAGCAAAGTAGAGCACATTTTCACAAATTGGGTCTACCTGATGGCAAAAAAGCCTTCAAATTCTCTCCTGGCTCGGGGTCACAGGGTCAGATCCTGAGAGCAACAGCGCCATTGCCAAGAACAAGCAGCAGTTTCCCAGGCAGCCAGTGTGCTCCTGTTTCCCTGCTTCATGATAAAACACATTCTCAGCTTTCAGGGCAAAGCTGGGGAAGCAGCTCGGGAGCAGATTTACTGAGCACACCCGAAGCCCCAGCTTGCAGTACTGGAAGCAACAAAAACAAACTTAAAACACACATTAAATTCTCAAACATTTAAAATAACACAACATAAAATAGAGCATACATAACTCCGTGACCAAGCATCTGGGACCTGAGTCCAGCAGGCTTTGTTTGACTTTACAAGGAAGGAGTCTAGAGTCATCAAGTGAGATGAGCTTCCTGTGGATCCCAGGGTTTTCGTGTGCTTGCTCTGTCAAAGAACCAGGGACTGTCTCCACAGACAAGAGATCCTGGAAAGTCAAACAGCCCCAGAAGCAAAGTGATACATTAAGATACCTTAGGAAACACCCCATTGTGTTGTGACCCAGTCAAGGCAGGAAGTCTATGGACATCCAAGAGCACCCAAGAGAGAAGGATAAACTCAGCTGAGTACTGAGATTCTCACTCACCCCACAAACACCTCTGGACTAGCACAGCCAGGGCATCAGAGAACACTTAGCCTCAGCTCTTCCTTCATAAACAAGCAAACAACTCACAAAGGCTGCTGGAGGGTCAGGGGTGCAAGCTGTATTAAACAGAACCAGGCATACTGTTTGAGAGCAGAAGTCTCTACAAAATCAAGCAAAGTCAGTTCCAATGGCTGCTAAAGAAGGACATCTCCAGAACAGAGGTTTATGGCCCTGGCCAGTGCCTGCAGAGCAGCTAGGGTAAGGGACAGGGCCATGCAACAGGCAATCAGGATTCAAACCCAGCTCCATTGTCACTCAGCTGCCAACCTCCAGCAAGCCACTTGGCCTCTTCATCAGAGAAGCAGGCAGTAGTGTCTTGCCTTACAGGAGACTGACAACAATAACTCAAAGTACATATGCGGTCCATGTAGAGCAGCAGCAGCTGTCACTCAGCTGGGACTTCCTCTTCAATTATCTTCTCCCCTAACCATCTCCCCTAGTCCTTTAGGCTAGCACTGTGGACCTGCACACAGACACTAAGTCCAGGAATCACCTGGTTCCATGATACATTCTCAAGAGAAAAAAAAAAACTGTTTGAGTATACTGGCCTGGGGCGTGTGGATATAAAGCCCACTTAGCCAGCTTTTAAGCTGTAGAGGTCTAGTGACTCACTCTGCTTGTAGGTTGATAAGCTGTATGCTACAAGGATGCTGACAGAAGATACACTGCTCTCTGAGACAGAACTTCTTAGTCATAGCTACAGCCAGCATACCCATGCTTGTGCTGGTTTAAGATGACAACACCTTCAAGATTGACTCAAAAAACATGAAAAGATGTTCAACACTGTTAGGTCTCAAACCCGGGACAAATGGCTAAGGTGTCTATTTAACATGTCAAAGTGGGTCCTGGCCATCAGTTTTCCCAGCATCCCTTAGTCCCTACCTGCTACAGGGTTCTGGCTGCATCTTACCCTAATCTTCTCTTGTCCAAGGACTGGGCTGGGCTGCCCTTCCCCTAGCTGCTCTTCCCTATACAATCAGCAATTTGGGTTATGCCAGTCTTCTTTCTTTTCTCTCTTTCCTCCTCCTCTTCCTCCTCCTCCTCTTCTTCCTCCTCCTCCTCCTCCTCCTTCTTTCACCCTTTTGCCCTTTGGCCCCTTGGTCTCCTGGCCCTCTCCTTCAGCTTCTCCTCATGGCCCAGCTCAGGTTCATGTTCATTCTGGGCTCTCTCAGATGTCTCTGCCTCTGGCTATGCTCTCCCGCACATCCACAATAAACCTTCACCTCTACCATACCTAGGAGCAGTCATGTCCTTTTTTATTTCTTTCATTCATTCAAACACTATTAGTAATAATGAAACAATGTGGTACCAAGACATCCCTATTTGGCATATCTAAACCTAATGGTACAAGCAGGCCAAGAGCTGTGAGGACAAACAGCTGATACTGTATCTTTTGGTGAGGGTGTGAATGGCAGAGCAGTTGACAGTTTAAAAAACATAAGTATGCCTCTTCCATCTGACCCAGCCACCTCCATGCACAACGAAGACTCCAGCATCTGTGTCTGTAACTGTCAAAGCTGTATAAACAACCCAAAAGGTTCATCTCAATGGCTGAGCAGTGTGTAACAGGAAGCAGGGAACTATTAAGACACAATATCACTACAGAAAACAGAAATTAAACTACAAAGTAGAAAAAGGGTGAGTGGCTCTCTGCAAAGTGAGGGGCAGGTGGGAGGGAGGGAAAGTGCCTTGTGGGATGATGCTTTACTTAATTTGACTATGGTAATGATTTTATAGGTAGATATCTATACTCAAATGATCAGTTTTTCATTTGAGATATATGCAATTATAGTATCAATAAAACTGTTAGAAAAAAGTATTCATATCAAGAGAAACTAAAGTTCAAAAACAGATTAATCTGAATTGTAAAAGAAGTGAAAATTCTATTTTTGTCACTTTATAATTATGATGAAATTAGGAAAAAGACTCGGCTAAACTAATGGTAAAGGTAAACAAGAAAGAGTTATTTACAACTCTGAAGTTACATCCATATGAACTTCAGGTGTCTCCTATTTCATTTTGCCCAGACTTCCGGACTTTTCCTTTCATCACATACCTACTATTCTGTTTTCTGAGAAGGAGCACTTTGGTGCTGTTTCATAAAATGATCTTTGTGCCAAAGGTCACAACTAAAACAAAATCAATAGTTAAGAAACATAACCAGAAACCATTAACATACCAGTTGGCTTTCTAGAGTAGGAAGCCATTCAGAGGAGGAGCAAGGACAGGTTTTGAGAACCCAGTGTCTGAGGGTAGCAAGATTTGAAAGTTGCCACCAAGAAAGAAGCCACTCCAACAAAAGAGGAAAGTCATTGTTAAAGAGTAAACATTGTAAGATAATGGCTCCTGATTTCCAATATACCAAAACCTCCTCCAGCTGTGGAGATAGAGCATATGACTATACAAGAACATAGCAGAACACTCCTTACCACTCAAAAGCCACCACAGCAAAGGGATAAATCCAGGACTCTCACTGATATACTTCAAGCCTTTTGAATTGATGCTCACATTGTACAGCGACATCAGCATTAGACTGAAATGCAAAAGAATACAGTGTTGACATGCTGGGCTATTCATATTGTATTTCACCTTGAATTCATAGGCTACTCTAAACATATTTACATCTCAGATGTCAAACTATAACATTTGAGTAGAATAATTACAAAGTGGAAGACATGTTTAATGGTTTTCAGCTGCAGGCGGCCATAACATAATGGGAAGCTTTAGCAATGACAGTGTGACACAACCTTCTGTGTATAGAGCCACAGGCAGAGAGTCTCATGAGAAACCTCATGCTCCTATTTACCAATGTCTTACCCCTTGTAGTACCAAGCCTGTATTTATATTCAGGCAACTCTTAGTTTATAAGGGTTCTGTGTTCTCGAGGTTCAATGAAGCTCTCTAAAGTCTAATGCATGGTAATCTAAGTGGAACAGTTTATAGGCTCATATATTTGAATACCTGGTCCCTAGTTGGTAGAACTACCTGGAAAGAATTAGGAGGGATGGCCTTGTTGGAGGAAATGTGTAATTGGGAGCAGACCCTGAGGTTTCAAAAGACTTGTGCCATTGCCAGTGTGCTCTCTACTTCCCGATTGTGGGCTGAGATGTGAACTCTCAGCGGTGCTCTTTTGTCATACCTGCCTGCTGCCATGCTCCCCACCTTGATGGTAAATGGACTCTTAAACCTCCTGGACCATAAGACCCAAATTCCTTTTATAAGCTGCCTTGTTCATGGTGCTTTATCACAGCAACAGAAAAGTGACTAAGACAAAAGTCGATACCAGGAAGTAGACTATTTGCAGTGACAGATTTGACCATCTGGGTTTGGAGGATGGGGAGGCTTGGAAACTTTGGGCTAGAAAAATGATTGAATGCCATAAAACAGACCTTAATGGGCCGTCCTAGTAGGAGCTTGGAAGACGGTGCTGACTGCAACAAGGACTATGGAGGACCAGTCCAAGAGGTTTCATAGGAGAACACTATTAGCAACTCAAAATATCCCATGACCTCCACATGTGTGTCATGGCACATACATGCTCACATTCACATACATGTGTGACATGCACATGCCTTCATTTCACACAGATACATTATATATACACACACAAAGAAGAAAGGCTGGATAACAGCTGGAGGTGTAACTCAGTGGCAGAGCACTACCCAGCATGCCAAGACCTTGGGTCTCATCCCAGCATGGGGGGAAAGGCTAGACAAATTGTATGTACAACAATTTGACACAAGCACACACATCCATTTGAACTCAAAAGCTACAGTGCCTCTTCTATTTCCTTTTGCCCAAAAATTTTAATGACAAGACTTTACTTTAAAATTGTCAATAAGCTTGCAAGAAATGAAAGGAATGTCTCTTTGATCAAGTCCAATGTGGGAGGTGAGTACAAACCATGACAGGTTCCAGAAGCTGATAGCTTCCATTACAGGGCATTCGTGTGGAGAGACAGAAAGAAAAGCCCCAGGCAGACACATATGCAGTCACACAACCTGCTGAGAACCAGAAAAGAACAAACTTTCAAGCCTGGCATGAACTCATGCTGTCAGCAAGCCTGAAACACTCACAAACCAACAACCTAAAAAAATATACAGTAGGCCCAGAATGGGAGATTCCCCAGTCTTTCTGGACACTAAAAATCTACCTGGTCTTCCAAGAAGCACAGACACAGTCCTAACAAATGTAGGTTCATATCACAGAGCACTGTGTAGTGCATGAAAACATCAATAAGAGCCAGCATAAGGGCAGTGGCAGTGCCAGAACCAAAGAGTTTTCAAGCATTAGAGGTTTCAATGTCAGAATAGAAAACAGATATGCAGAGTAAAAAACTGCTGTTATTGTTGGGTTTTTTGTTCCTTTTATTCTGTTTTATAAAACAGTGTCTCACTATGTAGTCCTGGGTGGCTTGGAACTAGAAACTCAAATCAGGCTGGCCTTGAATTCACAGAGACCAAGCTGCCTCTGCCCCCAAGTGCTAGGATTAAAGGTGTGCACCACTATGCCCAACAGTAAAAAGTAAAAGAAGCTAAAACATGACCAAGAAGCTAGGGCTAATGGTATGAACTACCAGGCAAAACCAAAAAAAAAAAAAAAATAGAATCTGGGTTGGAAAGATGTCTGTAAAGTGCTTGTTATATATGTTGGAGGGTCTGAGCTCAGTGCCAAGCACTCACATAAAAATAAAACATGACCATAAAGAACAATTGAGCAAGACACCCACAGCAACTTCTGGCCTGTACACACACCTGAACATACACATACACAAACAGGTACATACACTTTTTAACAAAACTTACAAAAATGAAAACCATGCTGGGGCGGGCTTTGATGACACACATGTCTTTGAGGCATTTCTGCTCCTGTAAGTGACCTATACTCCTGTAAGTCACCTATATTCCTGTAAGTGACCTATACTCCTGTAAGTGACCTATACTCCTGTAAGTGAGCTCAAAAAAGCTCACTGCTTCATCAAGCTGCTCTTTGATGGCATCTGCAGTTCGGTTCACTGTGGACTCCCTATCTGGAGTGAGTAGATGTGTGTATTCTATTTCCCAAGAGAGATCCATCATGCAACAGTACACCTGTGATCCCAGCATTGGTACAGGGATGGGAGGCAGAGAACAGAGAATCTCTGTAACAGTGGGCCAGCCTCACACACATTAGAAAGAACACACACACACACACACACACACACACACTCACACACGCGCGCGCATGCTGTACACAGTTTGTTTTTTTTTTTTAAACAGGATGCCAGAGGGCAGGCAATGTGTGCTTTTCCAAGGGAACAGAGGAACCACTGTAACCTCAGAATTAAAAGCTCACCAAAAATATTTTCAGCAAATAATATAAAAGAAATCTCAAGAGATTTTCCCCTCAAACAAATCTGAACTACAAAACTTTGAAGGATGAACTTCAGAAAAAGAGAAAACAACCTCAGAAAATGTCCTGAGCTACAAGGAGAAGTGGGAAAGGGCGCCATGGTACAGGGACACAAACGGAAGGAAAGGCTGCTGGTGAAGGCAGGAGTAACAATGTCTAACGCTGTGACTAAACTTTTTCCCACAAAGCAGGGACTCAGTCGACAAACACACATGGCCCAGGATGTAAGAACTAAATCATTCTGAGGTCCTTCTGCAGTTCAGACCAGAAAGGCATTCATTACTTTCAAGGACACATCAAATACATCCAAGCATGCTTTAAAGGGACGCTAATCACTGAGGGAGACAAGGAGAGGTCAACTTTTAATGCCCTGGAGAGAAAAATAAACTCAGAAAAGGGAGGTATCAGAGAAGCAGTGAAGGAACAAGAAAAGAAAAAAGGGAGGGGATGGAGATATTGAGGGAAAAAACTCAAATAATCCTAATAAAAACAAGACAAGATGGAAGGAATAAAGCCAAGGATTTCAATAGTTGGAAATGTTAGCAGGCAGGATTAGCTTGCCAAAAGGCAGATTGTTAGGCTGGATTACATCACCACATAGCCATATAACACATCTAAAACAAAAGTTCACACGAAGGGTGAAAGTAAGGGAATAGCAGAAGATATACCAAGAGAAAGCAAAGACTGAGGCAGCAAAATTAATAAGCTCAATACAGAGCACTTTCCAGACAAGGAGGGTGACTACAATGCCAAACACCCAGTTCCTCAGGAAGCAGGCATTCTAACCTGGATGCATCTAGACTTGCTCCTCAAAAATGTGCAAAGGCTTAACAGGGAAAGGCACTCGCTGCCAAATCTAATGACCTGGGTTTAATCCCAGGAACCCATACTATGGAAGGAGAGAATGGACCCCACAAATTGTCCTCTGACCTTCATGTGTACACATACATTAAACGTAACTACAATTTTTAAATATGTACCATATTAAAGAACATATCAACAGAACTACAAAGCAGCCGGTGCACAGCAGCAGGCTCTCACAGTACCTAGTACATTACACTGATTCTCTGACTTGCCATGCAATTAAGTTTAAAAATTGTTTTAATTTCTTTGAGACAGAATCTGACTACACAGTCAGGGTTACCATCCTGCTGTTTTTGGACCGACTTAAAAAATATTTTTAAAGTAAGTTTTAAAACTCCAAACAATACTTGGAAAATAAAAATAATATCTCTGGGCTGGAGAGATCACTCTGCAGTTAAGAGCATCTGCTGTTCTTCCAGAGGAAGGGTTCAGTCTGCAGCACCACTTTGGGCCAGTCACAACCATGTGGAACCCCAGGGAATCTGACACCACTCTCACTCAAGTATACATCCCACACACACACACAGTTTAAAAATAATCTTCCCCTCCCAGCTATAAAGAATGTCTCTGTAAAAATAAGCTAAATAATTTACTAGGAGTAAAATCAGACAATAGAATTGAACAATATATAGCATACAAATTTTAAAATAAAGCTAGTAAAACATACATAGAGCTTTAGGGGAGGAAAGTTCAAAGTTTATGAGCACAGTAACAGTAGTCTGAGTGCATGGCAACAGCCCTCTCATTTGTAGTAATTATGAATTCTGGACACAATAAAAGAACCCTCTCTTAAGAGGATCTGTGAGCAACACCCCCCTTCCAAGGAGAGAGTTTCCCTGAGTGCAGCAGGCAAAGGAGGAGAAAGCACAGGAGGACGCTCCAAGGCATAGTCACCAAGGGCACATAACAAGTCCTGAGGGCTCCGCTGGCCAGAATCACATGACAGTCTGAGGCAGACACTGGCCTGCTAAGACAAACATCAGCTCTCTTCAGGAAAGTCCTCTGCAATGACCAGTAGACAGACCATCAGATGTTTAACTAACAGGGACAGAGAATATGTGGAGAGCTAAGTACTTCCTGTGGGTACAAATTTAAAGAACTGCCAAAATGCTCCATAGCCATTATTTTTTCATATAATAATTAATACAGAAATTCTGTAAGGACTACGAGTTTATAAATTAAGGTGGAATGGGAGACAGCACCATGCCAGGATGTACTGCAGCCTATAGCAAGAAGAAGTCAGGAACACTGATGCAGTCTATTTAAAGGTACTAATTA